GAACTCTATTGCTATGGGAGAAGGATGGGTAGGTTTAGAAAGTTTAGTTCTATCCTTAGGCTGTGCTGTCAGAGATCATAAGCAGACTCTGCATATAACCATAAGGAGAATGACTGCCAAGATTGCGTTGGTGCTCATGCTGTTACGTGGCAGCTCCTGGGGACTGGAGCACTTGTAGCACCTGGTCTAGAGCTGTTTCTGTGGGAGAGTCCCTCCTGTTCTTGCTCCGAGAGCTGACTTCTGTGCCATTGTAGCTATGGTATTGTCATCAACTTCATTATCTTAAAGTCCTGACAGTTTGGTCAGCAATTTGTAGTCTTTGCTTATTTTTGTTTCCTCTGGTTGAAAGGCTCACTGCTGCTGTTAATGAGGTTCGATTGATCTTGACTGGCATTTAATAACAAGTACTTGCTTTGGGTGGTACCTGGGGAGTGCAATCCCTGCATCTGAGGAGCGAAGTTCCCTTGTAATTCATGGATTTATATCTGCTCTTCACAACACTTCCATCTGCAGGAGAGAACAGCCATTGCTTTGCTTGGGTGATTTGAGGAACTGAGATGCAGGTAAACCAAGTTTGCTCAGCCCTACAAAGCAAATGGGGGAATGGAGAGCCCTTAAATTGTAAATCAGTGCCCTTCTGAAGCTGGACTCTCTTCCCTGCTGTCAACCTCTTAACTGTTCAGTGACTGTGGATAGCTCAGTAGTACATGGTAGTTGTCACCACCAGTTATTCAGTACTTGAAATTACTTCTGCTTGATGGGGTTCCTGAGCTGCAGAGGATTAATCTCAAGTGTATGTTGTGAAGACCATGAAACAATTAAGTCTGAAAATTAGCACTGAGAAAGGTCCAACTGGATGTTTTTCTCTGTCCAGAATGAGCTTACATTTTCTAAAGTTTCTAGTCACCACTCTGACCTGTTTAGAGTGATTCCACTTTCTTTTTGTGGTAACAGAAATGGTCAGTGTCTAGATCTTATTGTTGAATTATTCTGGATCAGAATGCACAGTTTTCCTTACTGGAGAATGGGGAAGGAAGTGGTTTGAGCTGTGGTATGGAGAAGTTGTGTAAAGAGAGGCTTAGGGTTTGTGTTTTGGTGTTTCCACCGTCTTTGTGTGTGTACAAAGCGCAGTCTCTTTGGCGACAAGATACCTGTACTGTTGTTGCATCCTGCAGCAGAAGGCTGAGTAGATGGCTGCAGGAGGGGCAGCCTCTGCTGGGTGTAATCACTGAAATGAAGCTGTTATCTCCTACAGATTTTGGTAGAGTTGGATTTATATGTGGCACTTCCTCTAAAACATCTTCCTACATAGCTCCTAAAAGCTTTTTAGCTTTATGTAATGCTCCTTTTGGATTTATCTGTATGTGATAAAGCAGGATTGGGAAAGGACACTTAAATATTTACTTTGATTACCGTTTGTGGGAGTAAAAGTTGGCTATAACTAGTGTTTTCTTGAACACCTTGCATATCTACAATCTCTCAGATTTTATGTGAATGAATGCTGTTCCACCAATTTCTACCATGCTTTGGTTAAATAGCACTCATGGAGTCATGCACAGAAAGTAGATGTCTTATTAGACTCTTCTTATCTCAGAGGAGAAGTCATCCCAGGGAGCCTCCTACTGAAATCTGGGCACTCCACCAGCTGTCACCTTCTGCTTTTTAAACTAGCACATCATCCATCCTTAATGCAGTGGCTGGACCAGGAAGTGTTCTGCTGATGGAAATCTGCCATGGTCCAACAAGTAGTTAATATTTAAACACTCCGTAGCTCATGGAGGCTGGGTTATAATCTGGTTCAAATTTTTTATGTGGGGTTAGTTTATAGAGAAACCGTGGAGTGCTGCAGTTGAGTGTTTCTGGCAGACAGCCTAAGGGGTGGGAAAGAAAGCCTTTTGTAAATTCACTGCGGTACAAATGTATGCTTAATGTGTGCATGCATACCTAGTATTATACAAGTGGATTTTCATAGTAGGAGAGGTGAGCAGCTGTTCTGCATATGGCTGGGGCATGGGGCTGCTTCCCACCAGAGCCCAGCCCCTGTCCTCCCCTGCCAGGTGTCACCAGCCCCAGAGCATAGGGCAGCAGTGTCCTGCTGCCTCCCGCAGCCTCTCTTGCCCCTGCCCTGGCTTTGGGGTGAAATTACCGTTGCTTTTTTTGTTAGTGTTAATCTTCCAACTCAGGATTTCTGAGAAAGCAAACATCAGTCCTTAATCTATAGGGATTTTCCTTCTGAGGATGGACAAAAGCTTTTCAGTTATAAAGATTGTTTAGTAGGAAGCGCTTATCAAAAAGAAAGACAATCCTTGATAAAAATTTCATTCCAGATGTCAATGGTTAGAGAGAATGCCAAAGAAAGCATTGTATCTCTCATCTTCATTAAGTTAAACAAGTGCAGGGACC